CTCTGCTAACCTCCCTCTTATTGTATTTTGGCTGCTCTGTCACCCATGTTAACATGTGTCTACCCTCTAGCATGTGAATAATTTTCCCTCCCCATCGCAGGACTGTCATAGATTGTTTCTTTTATCAAGGAAACCTGTCTTTTAGCTTTTTACAACATTGGTCTTGTTTATAAAAATACAATGTTTGTCCTTTTGTGATTGATTAATTTCACTCAACACAGTGTCTTCCTGGTTCAACCATGTTATGAGGTATTTCACAGATTCATCATTATTATTTAATATTCTGTAGCATTGTATTGTTTATGTAACCAGTCTTCTGTTGATGGGCATTTAGGCTATCTCCATCTTTTTGTTATGTCTCTTATAGACAGCATATGAAGGATCCTGTTTTCTTTTCCTCCCTGCTCTTTATGTTTCTTGACTGGTACATTTAATCCACATACATTCAGCGTAATTATCAATAGGTATGAATTGATCATTGTCTTTTTTCTGTGTATATGTTTTTGGGATACTGTTGGATTCTTTGTTCCACATAATTTTCTATGCTGAGTGCATTTTGTTTGTGGGTTTTCTTTACATTTTCATTTCTGTCATATTAATGTTTACCAAATCTTTCTGATTTTCCTTTTTTTGTTTTGACATGCAGGTGTATTATTTTTCTTTGAGGTTACCATGTAATTTATTAATTTTTTCCCCTGCTTAAAACAAAAGCAAGGAAAACATAATACAAACTTTATAAGAATTCAGGAAAACACTATAAGAACAAACAGACAAAATAAATGCAAAGTTTGAAACAATACAAAACCTGCATTGTTTTCAAGCTTTTGTCTTGAAATCTGTTTGACTTCCTTCACATTGGAAGTTCTGTTTCTGCACTATTCCCTCTTTTTATTTGTAGTTGACTTCATTATACATTGATATCTCTGGTTCCCTATTTTCAGTCTTACAGGTTTGTTTTACTTTAATCTTTCTACCTGGATTGAGTTCTGGATTGTGTTGTCAAGTACAGTAATCTTAGGTTGTTGTTTGCCGTTGATGGTTCTCAGTCCAAAGAACACCCTGTAGTATCTTTTTGTAAAGTTGGTCTGGTCATTACAAATTCCTTCAATCTCTGTTTATCAGGAAATGTGCTAATTTTGGTGTCCTCTTTGAATGACGGTTTTGCTGAGCATATGATTCTTGGTTGGCAGTCTTCTTCTTTCATAGTTTTGTATATGTCATTCCATTGCCTTCTTGTCTGCCTGGTTTCTGCTGAGGGATCAGAGCTTAGTCTTATTGGTTCTCCTTTGTAGGTAACTTATTGTTTTTCCTGAGCTGCTCAAGTATTCTTTCCTTGCCTTTGATTTTGGAAAGTTTGATTATGATATGTCTTATTGATTTTCTTTGGGAAGATCTGTCATGTTTGGGGTTCATTCAGCTTCTTGTATGCTTATCTTGTCTTTCATGATACCAGGGAAGTTTTCCTCTAGCAACTCTTTGACAGTTTTCTCTGTGCTTGTCTCTTCCTAGTCTAGAATTCCGATCACCCTTAAGTTGTCACTCTTCGTGGTGTCTCACATAACTCTTAGACTGTCTTCGGATTTTTTTCATTTTTTTTTCCAGTTCTTCTAGCATACTAATTATTGAGAGGTTTATTTTCAAGTTTACTAATTTGGGTTTCCTTTGCTTCACATCTACTCCTTTGCCCTTTCAATGTATTGTCCATATCTGACATCTTAGTATTAATCTTCTGGATTTCTAATTGCAGGTTTTGTATTATTTCAAAATTTGCGTTTATTTTGTCTGTTTGTTCTTATGGTGTTTTCCTGAATTCTTATAAAGTTTTTATTGTGTTCTTCTTGCTTTCCTCGATCTTTCTGTCATTCCTTTGAAGGTACCTAATTATCATTACATTTTTTTTCAGTTAGTTCTATGACCTTTTCTTCCTCAGAAACACTTTCTGTCTCTGCCTCTTGGTCATTTATTTAATCCATTGTCTCTTGTTTCTTCGTGTGAGCTAAAATTGTTTTGCTGTCTCTGGGGTATTGTGGGGTTGTTGTATTTGTAAAACAGTGCAGTTGTTGGATCTAGAGAGGAGAAATCTCTGAGGGGTTGGGGGGAACTCCTGCTATTCAAGGAGCTCACAAAGTGGTTGTGGAAGGAATGTGACTGCAGAGTTCCTGGCCCCAGATGGAGTTCCTATTGGCCTCAATGTTATCTGTGTTTAAGACCCTCAGTCCAGAAGTAGTTCATGGGGGCCCTTGATGGAGCTGGTTTCAGTGTCTGTTAGGATAACAAGGAAGCTGGGGGCAGCATGACTGATTCAATGCTGGTCTGGTATTTTTGCGGGTTTTGTAGGTTTGGAGCTGAGGTCACTTGAATCCAGGCACTAAAGCGGCACAGCCAGCCCACCTCATAGTGGCATAGCTCCCAACCACGTGGTTCTGAATTCTCAGAGAAGCAGTGATGTGATGGTGGTGGATGAGGGTGGGAGCTGGCCATACTTCTGGTCACGGGAATTATACAATAAAAGAAGAAATCACACCTTTTCTGTTGCCTGTGAGAATCTGCTGTTAGGTCTCCCTCTGCCACCAAAGCTGTTCACAAGAATTGTGGAGCTAAGTCTAGCCTCCTGCTGTCCCTGCTTTGCTGTCCGGCTAGAAAGCTCTCCTTCTACCTCTCTCACCTTTCTTCTGAAGTTCAGGGTGCCAGAATTTTCATCTGTGTCTGTTTTATTTTGTCTCTCGTATGTTTGCTGTAGAGGGTCTATGTAGTGAGTCTGCCTAGTCTGCTGTGTTGGCAGAAGTCACTCTGTTTATTCTTTTCATCTTGTTCTGATGCTTCCTGCATCATTCAGTATTTTGCCCATTGTTATTGTTAATCACCATCAAGTCGGTTCCAACCCATAGCGACCCTGTATAGGGTTTCTGAGGAGTGGCTGGGGAGCTTGAACCACCCACTTTGCAATTCCAACCAACTTTGTAGTCCAGTGTCTTAAACCACAGTGCTAGAATCCTTCAATATTGTAGCCCCAAACTTGAGTTTGTTCTTTAGTTCTTTTAGCTTGAGAAATGCTGTATGTTCTTTCCCTTTTTGACTCCAGGTCTTTGCACATTTCATTATAATACTTTTCTTTGTCTTCTCAAAGCTATCGTTGGAAATATTTTGCTCAATTTTTTATGTCATCATTTCTTCCAGTTGCTTAGCTTCTCTACTTCCAATAGCAAGTATCAGAGTCTCTTATGTCCAGTTTGGTCTTTTTTCTTTCTGCGTTTTTAATGACCTTTTGCTTTCTTCAAATCTGATGTTCGTCACGTGATCCCACAACTCCTCTGGTCTTTGGTCACTAGTGTCTAATGCATCAAATCTGAACTTGAGATGGTCTGTGAATTCAGGTAAGATATACTTAAGGGCATAATTTGACCCTGTGGTCTTATTTTAATTTTCTTCACCTTCAACCTGAACTTTTTGTTGTTAAGTGCCATCGAGTCAGTTCTGACTCATAGCAGTCCTATATAGAGTTTCTGAGGAATAGCTGGTGAGTTTGAACCACTGACCTGCGGTTCAAACGGACTTGCATTCCAGTGCTTATCCTACGGCACCACAGCAGGGCTCCAACCTGTACTTGCATACAGGTAATTGATGGTGTGTTCCCAGCTGTCTCCTGGCCTTTTGGCTAATCACACTGAGCTTCTCCATCATCTCTTTCCATAGATGTAGTCAATTTGATTCTTGTTTAGTCCATCTGACAAGGTACACGTGTATAGTCGTAAACCTCGCCATTAAAAGATCTTAAACTAGAGAGAGATATAATTGATGTTTTAGAAAGAGGAATGTTTCGAACCTGTCAGCAGCTAGTTGACCAGATGAACCTGATGAGTTTTGGTGCTAACAGTGAGAATTAAAAGGAAGAAGAAGAAATCTACATGAGGGGCGTTTTAGATTCCTGGGGCTGCTGTAACAAAGTACCAGAATGTGGTTGGTAAAAGGACAGAAATGTATTGGCTCATGGCTCTAAAAACTAGAAGTCCAGAAGGCTGAATTCTTTGTAAAGGCGCTAGGGGAAGATCATTGTACTCTCTCCTAACTTCTAGTAGTCCCAGGCTTCCCTTGGCTTGTACCTGCAACATAACTTTATCTCTGCATCCGTGATTACATGGAGCATTTCTCTACATGCCTGTCTCGCCTCCTTTTTTATGTGGACACTACTCTGACTGAGTTTGGACCCACTCTACTCCAGTATGACTTTATATGAACTTAATTGGTAGCATCTTCAAATACCCTGTTGTCTAACAAGGCACATTCATAGGTGCAGGGGTTAGGACTTCAGCGTGTCTCTTTGGAGGTTACATACAGTTCCATCCACAATGGGGAGAGATACTTCAAAAATGAATACATAGCATTTGGTGACTGAATGTGAAGGTGCAAACGAGGGAGGAGCAAACAGATGGCAGATTTGAGGGTGGGTTGGATGGGTGGAAATGTCAGAGATTCAAATGGGGATTAGGAGAGTCAGAAGAAGACCTTTTGGGAGGAGACAGTAGATGAGAATATCATTAATTCATTTAGAAATGTTGTACTTCAGCTTGTCAAAGATCTAAGTTTAAACTGTTTCTTAGATAGGAATGAAGGCTGTAAGACGCCAAGGTTACAGAGTGATATTTTAGAAGTACAATATTGCTTCATTGCAGAGAATACTACCAAATAGTGCAAGTGATCTGAATACTACCAATAGGGTAAATGATTTGAATGTCAAAACTAATTGTCACTGTGACCTTTACTGTTTGATTTAAGATGGGTTTGAATTAGACATCTCATCTCTGGCATCAGTACGTAGCCCTTAAAACAGTTTCTACCAAGTGTACCCCAGGGAGCACTGCAATCAATCTACTGGGTGTTGGAACAGATTCAGATCCATTTTCCTGGTGCACGACCCATGTCAGTTTGCCAGCTTGGGAAGGGAATATAAACTGCTGCAGAATTTGTTATCTAAGAACAAACACATGTATTTCTTTTTTTAGAGTCATCATTACCATGTTGGTGACCTGCTCAGTTTGCTGCTACCTGTTGTAAGTATGATATCTCTCACACGTTTTTCTCCTACGTTGATCAGTGTTCTTGGTAGTTATGATGTGTGTGATTGAAAATTAAATCAGCAGAGCATGAGTTGTTGTGAAGCTTTATGCCTTTGTTTTAGTAGTCCCAGCCCCTTATGTAGCATCTAGAAATAAATCCTCAGTTGAAAACAGCACACTTTTCCTATGTCCAGTGTGTTTATTTAAGATATGTACAGATGCTCTGTCCTTCTGGGAATACAAATTAATTTATTTGGCACACATTTAGAGGTTATAAATAGCCAGGAATTGAAGCTGTACTGTTCTGTGTTTGATTACCTGGGAAGTATTTAGGCCTACTTATTCCACTTAAATATATCACTAGAAAACCAGGCAAGTCATTCTGTATTAACACTTTTGTTTCTCTGATGAACAGAAGTTGAGCTAGAATGGTTATAATCAAGTAGAGTAAGTTTTTTTTTTTTTTTTTGTGTGTGTGTGTGTGCTTAACAGTTTTAACATTGCAAGCTATATCAAAGTATATATAGCAACTATTTGAATAGGTTAGGAGCCCTGATGGCACTGTACTGCTACCTGAAAGATTGGCAGTTCGAACCACTCCATGGGAGAAAGATGAGGGGTTTTGCTCCCATAAGGATTTACAGACTTGGGAACCCTATACAGGGTCACTATGAGTCAGAATCGACTTGATGGCCATGGGCATTTGAATAGATTAAATTATTGAATGAAACTATTTTAAGATTTGGCAGTTCAAACCCACCAGCCACTCCTCAGAAACCCAAGACAGGGTCGCGATGGGTTGGAATCCACTCGATGGTACTTAACAATAAAACAAAAAGATGTTTCCTTTTGTCAACACATAATTGAGAAATACTGTTTTTATCCTCATGGGTACCACAAGTGATGGAACTGCAGTGGAACATTCTAAAAGACTTTTCCAACTCTTGTGTACATTCTCCCCTTCCCTAAAGAGTATGGAACAGCCACGCCCCAGAAGAAAACTGCATATCAGTCAACCAATGAACAGAGTAACGACTTCAGAGTATTCAAAGAGCCTTGGGATTTCTTTTCTTTCCTTTTAAAAAATTGATATGCAATGTGAAGCTGATGTCCTCCCAATGTGAACTATCACACAATTCACAATAAAGCATTAAAAAAAATTGATAAACAGTTCACATACCATAAAATTCATTCCTTTAGAGATTTCTTTGTAGTTTAGAGCCAGTGATTCTCTTTTCTTGAAGAGAACTTTCTGTCTTCCTGAGACCTCAATGGTATAGAAAGTGTTGGTGTTGGTGAAACCATTGTTTAATGTTCTTGTGAGGTAGGAAGCATTCCTGACCCTGAATCTCTGAATGTCCTAGGTCTAGGGATGTTTGTACCAAGGTTTTTCAAAGAAGTTTGTGGAAATAAGCCAAACTCCAGTTCTTGGCATAGATCAAACTCTGCTCCTGACAAGGAGTTATTGCCATGAATTTTGGCTACCTGGCCAGTCATTCAGTCAGTTATTTAAGTGCATCTTGAGGTAATTAAAGCTGAATCATAATACATTATGAAAGTTTTGCTAAATGACAGTGGTGGTGTTTGACTGTCTCAGCAGTAAGGCTCAGAGGATGTGATTTTTCCAGAGACTGTTTATTTAATCTTTCTTATTTGATAAAGAGGTTAAAGAGGCTTTTTCAGGTGATAGGTCAGGTTCTGGGATGGAAGTCTGACAAGTTGTGGATAGAGGGCATTCTTATACCAGCTGTGTTCAACTCTGAAGACTAAATGAGAAGGAATGCAGTCATCATCAAGAATTCATTATGTTTGTAAAATAATGTAATTGAATAGTGACTTGTCCTACTGAATCTTGTAGAAATAAAAAAAACAAAAAACAAAAAACCCCACAAAACTTGTTGGCATTGAGCCTACTCCACCTTGTGGAAACTCTGTGTGTGTGTTACAGAGTAGAACTGTGCTGCACAGGCTTTTTTTGGCTGTAAACTCTCCAGAGGAGTCCTGCTGTGGTACTGTGGGATAAAACACTGGACTGCAAGGTCGATGTTCAAGCTCACCAACCTCTCCTTGGAAAAATCCTATACAGGATAGCTGTGAATCGGAGCCAACTCAACGGCACTTGACAGCAACAACAACAATCTTTACAGAAGAAGATCACCAGACTTTTCTTCCACAGAGTCCCTGGATGGGTTTGAACCAAAGACCTGACCAGGGAGTTCTTTATCAATCAGGATGCCAAGGAGAAATCCTGTGATTTCAAAGGCCTTTGTTTATATTGCTTTGAAGATCTCTGCAGCGTTACCAGTAAAACTGCTTAAAAGTCAGGAAATGATTGCATAAAGAAATGACTTGAAATGAAACCAAGGATAGAGCAAAAATGTTTTGTGATTTTTCTGGTTCTCAGTTGTCATTGAAATTTAGTTCATTTTCATGATAGTTTCTTTAAAAGAAATAAACAGAAACACTTCCAGTCAGTGTCTTTGCCTATTTTCATTTTGGAGCACACACGGAACAAGTGGATGTAGTTGGAAGTTATTTCACGTTGGATCTTACTGACTGAATTAGGAACTATCCATGAGTCCTTGCCTCCTGTTGGAGACTTTAGACCATCTTTTCCCTCTGACAATGGGTCAGTGCCATCACAGTCATTGTAATAAATGTGTACACAGTGTTCCAATAGTAGTTCATCTGGAGCCCATTTTATGGGGAAATGAGCTGGGTAGTATTTACTTCTTGAAATTATTAATTTTTTTTTTTTCCTTTTGTTTTTTTCCAGAGACTGTTTTAAAAGTCTAAAAATATGGGTGGAATTCAAACCCCAAATGTTTTACATATCTTATTCCACAAAAGGATTTGATTTTATACTAAATTAGAAATTCAAAGAAAACTGTTTGACACCATTAAGCATGCTTTCTTAAAAATACCTCTCTTGAAATAAGGCACACCCAAAGAGACTGGGTTTCCTAAGCAAAGTCATATTTTGAAATATATTCGTGAACTTTTAAATTGCCTTTCTGTTTGTGGCAGTATTTTTTTCTTTCCAGACTGTTCTAGCTTACGGTTTGATTCCATGGGGTAGAACTTGTTTGAACTCTTACTAAATCAGCATCGCTGCCAGTAGAATCCAGTGGGTCTGTTAAGGAAACTTGGAGTACTGTAAGTCTCGTCTTCCCCTCTTTGAGGCACATGATAATTTTTGTCTCTTAATCATACAGTCCGATTATAATTTCTAATTTCTTTTGGTCTTAATTTTTAAAATCAAATTAGGTTGTAGTTTACCTACAGTCACAAAACTCACATCTTCAGGGTAAATTAGAAATTCAGTGTTATATTGTGAAGTTGTAGTTTTTGTCCTTGACTGTGAATCTTAACCAGCAGAGTTATGTACAGGAAATACTTACTGGGAGTCAGGAGACCTTGGTTCTTCTAGAGTGAGTAGTACTTGGCCTGATTATGCTATAGGATGGTTTTTGTGAATTTTTTTTTAAATTTAGGAGCTATGTGTGAAAGCTTATTAAAAATAAGAAGAATAACAAAAATGCTAAGGTAATAATTCCACTGTTTGTTAAATAACGCCATTTGTGACATGTATGTATTAGGCCTTAAGGAGCTCTGGTAGTGTAGTGGTTACGAGTTGGGCTGCTAACATCAAAGTTAGTAGTTCAAAACTACCAGCAGTTCCATGGGAGAAAGATGAGGCTTTCTGCTCCCGTAAACACAGCCTCGGAAACCCTGTGCAGGGTTGCTATGAGTCAGAACTGACTCCACGGCACACCACCACCATCATATGTTAGGCCATGTTGGGTTAGTTCAAATTACATGTTGCATTAATTCACTCAACATGTTTTTACTTAGAACCTACTGTGGGATAAAGCAATAGACTGCAAGGTTGGTTTGAACTACAAGGTCAGCGGTTCAAATTCACCAGCTGCTCCTCAGAAACCCTATACAGGGTCACTATGAGTCAGAACTGACTGGACGGCACTTCACAACAACAACAACATGTACTGGATCTGGGAGCAGTGGTAGAATTCTTGCTTTCCATGTGGGAGACCTGAGCAATTCATAAAGGAAAGCTAGTTCTTAAGGGTCGTGGAGTCGGTTCTGAATCATAGTGACCCTGCACAGGGTTTCCGAGGTCAAAGCTTGGGTTTCATTTTATTTACTAGTTTTCTAGATAATGAATTGCATCCTCCCATGGTGACAATTATATTTGCTTTGTTTTAGTATCATGATTGTATGCATTTAAGCATGCTTAATGTGATTCGGTCCTATGTTATTAGTATCTTTGTTGATGTTAAAATTGTCCCACCTTTGACTAGTGGGAGCCTATTCCAGCTGATTCCTAAATCCCTTCAGCATAACTGCTGAATGTGTTTTATTTGGCCTTCTGTTATTTGGTTGTTCTCAGTCACTGCTGAAGGACTGCATGGTTGGTAAAGCAGAGGGTCAGCTAAAAGCGGGAGACCCTCAGTGAGATGGATTGACACAGTAGCTGCAACAATGGACTCAAACTTGTAATGACTGTGAGGAGAGCACAGGACCAGGCAGCGTTTTGTTCTGTTTTACTGTTGCTCTGAGTTGGAGCTGACATGATGCCACCTAACAACAAAAGGAAGGAGCCCTAGCGACATGCAATGGGTTAAGTGTTGGGCTGCTATTAAGAGAGTCAGCAGTTCAAACCCACCAACCACTCCTCAGGAGAAAGATGAGGCTGTCTACTCCAGTAAAGATTTATCATCTCAGAAACACGAAGGAGCTGTTCTCAGTTTTACTGTGTCTGATAGGATCACTGTAAGTTGGAATCAACTCCATGGTAGTGGATAACAGCATAAGGAACCCAGACAGCACATTGGTTAAACACTAAGCTACTAACTGAATGGTCAGTGGTTAAAACCCACCAGGTGCTCTGTGGGAAGATGTGGCAGTCTGCTTCCCTAAGGTTAAAGACTTGGAAGCCCTAGGGCAGTTCTCCTCTGCCCTATAGTGTTGCT